CTCTTCTCCAGGCTGAACAGCCCCAACTTTCTCAGCCTGTCTTCATACGGGAGGTGCTCCAGTCCCCTGATCATCCTCGTGGCCCTCCTCTGGACTTGTTCCAACAGTTCCATGTCCTTTTTATGCTGAGGACACCAGAACTGCACACAATACTCCAGGTGAGGTCTCACGAGAGCAGAGTAGAGAGGCAGGATCACCTCTTTCAACCTGCTGGTCACGCTCCTTTTGATGCAGCCCAGGAAATGGCTGGCTTTCTGGGCTGTGAGCACACACTGAAGCCAGCTCGTGTTTTTTCATATGGGCATCAGTGACAGCCGGGAGCTGATTGAGGAGTGTCCAGAAGGATTACAGAGGCACATGAGCAGTGATAAGGTACTCTGGAGCACAGGTAGTTTTTTGATGAGTCTTCCTATTCACAGAAGAGAAGGTTCCAGAGAGATCCTCTGTGGCTTCTAGTACCTAAAAGGGGCCTACAAGAAATCCTGCAAGGGACAGGACAAGGGGAAATGGCTTTAAACTGACAGAGGGGAGACTGAGATGAGATATTAGGAAGAAATTCTTGCCCCGTGGGTGGTGAGGCCCTGGCACAGGTTGCCCAGAGAAGCTGTGGTTGCCCCATCCCTGGCAGTGCTCAAGGCCAGGTTGGACGGGGCTTGGAGCAACCTGGTCTAGTGGGAGGTGTCCCTGCCCATGGCAGGGGGTTGGAACTGGATGAGCTTTAAGGTCCCTTCCAATCCAAACCATTCTGTGATTCTGTAATCTATTTTCCTTAGTGCAAATGGAACAATTTTAATTATTTAGCACTTACATCTTATTTGCTTTTATATTAAACAGTTCTCTTACCCCTTGAGAAAATGTCTGAGGCTCTCACAGTGATTGTTTCTTCAGTTTTGACCATTAAGCCCAAAACAGATGTACTAGGTTAGTCATTATCATATTAAGATTTATCAGAAAGTCTTTTATCTACTTTAGGGCTAAAATATTCTTGCTGTTTACACACACACACAAATTTGTGATTATGCATTGGTATATACCTTCTTTCTGCGCAAGTGAGCACTGTGATTTCAGTATCACATGACACAGAGTTTCCTATATAGACACTCAGATGACCTGTTTTTCACATCACTTTTCTATGTATGGAAGAGACTTGAGCTTTGACTTTCTAATCTCAATGGGGGTGATGGTTACTGAAAACTTCTCCTGTAGTTTTTCCTGTGAAGGCCAAGAAAGGAGCTGCTCTCTGTTGGGATCAGTGACAAAACTCTGGACAGGTTTCAGTGTGAGGTTGGCCCTAGAGTGCCGATAGGCATGAAGAAAACATCTGTTTTCATGCTGGCAATGTGAGTGATGTGGTTCCTCAATGTAACTGCCATGAAGAAAAAGATTAACATTGGCATTTGATTTTGGCAAGCATGTCTGACTTGCATGTGCTCACAGGTATACTGTATGCACTACGTTTCTGTAAGGCAGTTCTTGCAGGTACAAAGAGAGGTGTTGAATTTAATTATAAATGATCTGAGCTGGAGAACAGTTAGTGACCTGTATTCCTGCCTGTGACTATGAAGTTGTATTCTCATTCTACCACCCTACAATCACATTCACTCAGAAATTTGTAAGAATCAAAAGTTTTGTGTGCAAATATAGACACTGTCTGTATATTGTGTATAGATGTCTTTTGTGTTTAGATGTAGTGATATCCTTTTCTCCAATGAAATGCATTTACAGGGAGCTTTCTAAAAAGTGTCAGAAGCCACCCTGAAAAGAGACATGATAAAATCAAAATGCATTATTGCAGTAAGATAGTTTGACAGATTAGAACGAGAACAAAGAAATTCTTAGTGTTGAATGAATAGAATTTTAAGTATTTTCAGTATTACCATGAAATTACTTGATTTTGAGGTCTGTCCTAGAAATGCACTTAAAAGCAAGAACAGAACTTTTTACCTGTTCTGTTTGTAGGATCAATAGTTGATAGTAAATCTGGTTCTGGAAAACTTGCCACCTTGCCTGCTATTTCCCTTGAATCTACTATACTTGTCTTTTCAATGTGGAGTGATGCTGCAGCGGTAGTGAAGCTGCCATGTGCCTTCTGGCAACAGCCTGTGCTGCTTTTGGCCATTGCATTCTGTCTGATATCAATTATCCACATATGTCAAGCTTTTATATGCTCCGAGTTTTTCCTGTACTACGTTTTCTGAGCCTGACTATTTTTTTGAAGCCTGATGCATGCATACTGGAAACTCTAGATACAGACAATCTGTCACTGGCAATAAGATGTGCAATATTGCATGTTGTTCAAGGAAAAGTTATAATTGTGGAAGCATAGGAAGATTAAGAGTGGATTGTTGAAATTGGTAGTTTTTCTCAACTAAGTATTTGTTGGAATATCACAGAATCATTGGACTGCCTGTTAGAATGCCACCTTTTATTATTTCAAGTATTTGCTTCTGAAAGATTTGCTTTTCTACTAAGATTAAATGTAAAGGATTATATTCAGGGGAAGTTTAGATTGGATATAAGGAGGAAATTCTTTCCTGTTAGGGTGGTGAGGCACTGGAATGGGTTGCCCAGGGAAGCTGTGAATGCTCCACCCCTGGTGGTGTTCAAGACCAGGTTGGACGAGGCCTTGGGTGATATGATTTAGTGTGAGGTGTCCCTGCCCATGGGAGGGGGGTTGGAACTTGATGATCTTAAGGTCCTTTCCAACCCTAACTGTTCTATGATTTCAGCCTTTATAGCATATATTGTATTTAGATAAATGTTTAAATATGTAGTTATGAATCCACATGTAAGAAGTGTAATCTCCTTTTCATGTATAATGAAATCCTCCTTACTGACTGTGAGATTATTATATTCTCCAGCCTCATTCTGTCTGGTTGTGATCTTTTGCAGTAACCATTCCCAAAGCCTTTCTTCTGAACTTTTGTATTATTACTTCAAGACATTTGCATCTTTTGACCCATTTCTAAACATTTGTCTCATATTTTTGGCAAACCACCATAATATTAGCCTAACTTGATCCAAGCCTTTGTGAGTAGTTCAAGTGAATAAATAAAATTCATAGATGAATAAATAAGGATGCTTTACAAATGATTTCAACAAAAAATACTGCAAAGGACTAAAGAGAATATGAAGCTAGATATAGACTGTGAATATTCATGTGGCCTCTGACCCTATTCTGATATTAACTGTAGCAACTGGATTAGGTCCAGAGGCCAGAAGTCTTTAGAAAACAAGATGATTTCAATTATGCTGTTCTTTCCCTTGAGCAGATATGTCCTGGATGGGTTCCGTGGACATAAAATAAAATGAGATGCAACTTTTAAGCTGGTGGAAAAAAATTGAGTGGTAGTACACAATGTGAGAAAGGAAGCTAGGTTAAAGTAATAAGGAAAAAGCCCTGTAGTTGGGTGTATGCAGTAGGGAAAGAGGGTGTGTTATTCTTTGAAACACGGGTTTCCTGAGAGTCCCAGGAAGGTGGTGTGATCTAAGGACATGCTTGCTTTCCCTCAGTATGGCCCAGCAGAGGTCTGAAAAATGACTTGAAAAATGACATTGTAGCAGACACCTGAATTGTTCAGTGCTTGTTACACTATTTAAAAAAAAAAAAAAAGAGGAAAAAAAGTTTTTGCTTTATCTTTTCCTTCTGCTTAGTAAGTTAGTGTGATCCCTAGCTAAGCCGTAAGTATTAAATCATAGTGAAAGCAACGGAAAAATGACAGCAAGTGCAGTGCAAGGAAAATAAGAAAAGAAAAATTCAGGCGATGTCAAGAAAATCAGTTGGATATGTCAGTTTCTGGAGTTTTGTTTTAAAGGAAGTGACAGCATGGCTGATAAAAACAAAACTTGACACAGCATTGTTAAAACAGTGAATGATCCTGGCAGAAATGGGGGACCATATCTAGAGCCTGTGTCTGTGTAGTGGCAACCAAGTTTTTAGAAGGCCTAAATCCTTGCAAAACTGTGCAGGTATCACATACAACAAGTGGAAAGACATTGTTAATGTGCCTGCCCTTCTGAATAATGCTGTGCTTTTCGCACAAGAGATTTTTCAGGTTACCTTACAAATTGACAGCTGTAGTAAAAGTGAGATTGTATCTGCCTCATTTACTTGTCATTCAGGAAAGAATGATAGTCTATCCATCTTCAGCTCCTTGTGCTGCAGTGGGCCGCTGCATTGTAATTCTCTTGTTATTGTAAAAAGCCTCCAGTCTTGTCCTTTGCTTTATAAACGGTTCTTAGGGAGTCTCATGGGGCTTTTGAGGTGGGTGTAGATTCTGCCGGCAGTTGATCACTCTGGATGCCTTGCATGCATTTGCACTGCGTGCTCGTAAAGTCAGTTGTCAAAAGCTGACTATTCAGTTGGAAAAAATAACACCAGCAGGCCATGTTTATAGTGTTTCCTGTTGACCAGCCATTAATGACTGAAGAGTCATAATTTTTTAATGATTTAATATTTACCAACTGAAAAGGCTGCTGTTGTAATGGAGCATATATATTTTACATGTAGGGAGTGCTTGAGACTTATGTATCACTAATTAGTACATGTAATAATAAATATAGTTAATTTGGCTTTTATATGCAGCAAACTTATAAAGTCTGTTACTTCTACTAGGAATATTTACCATAAATCAGATTTTTAGTAGCTTAAAGATAATTAATGTCTTAAAGCTATGATGACTTACGTCAGCCTAAGATTTGGTCCAGACAACTTTTTGAAGTTTTGAAGCATTATTTACAGTTTGTTGTTGTAGTAATTCATGGCAACCTTTGAATCCTGTGTACTTTGTTTTAGCAAGGAAACTTAACTTGATTTCATTTATCATGATAAAATGCACTTTTAACTCTAAGACTGTCAGCTACTTGTTTTTAAGTAGAAAGCACTGTGTAAACTGGTACTATTTGAACTGAAAGAAAAACCTGAAAGAAAGAAAGAAAGATTTTAAATCCCACATTTTTATGACAAGTCTTCCATTCTTTTCAGTCTTTTATTCCTCCGTTTCATTTCTGTCCTACTTGTACCAGCATCAGTCACTGTTTTTGGCAGTGTTTCTTAACATAGAAATGAGGAAGGAAAAACAACCTTTGAACATTAAAAGTTAAGTGACTCTTCTCCATCCTAGAGTTTTAGCACTCCTGACAGCTTGAAGTCTGTTTTTGCTTGTCAGTATTCAATGTGCTACTCATAGACAGCCTCAGACTTGTCAGGTTGCTTACTGCTTATAGCTCTCTGCTTTGGGTATCCAGTCTCCTAACATGCTTCTTGGCAACTGCTATGCATGTTCTAGCTCCACTGAACCACTCCTACTGTGGACTATGAAAGGTGCTCTATAAAATAACAAAGCAAACAAATCAATTAAAAAAAAAAGAAAAGAAAATGAACTCATTGCTGTGATTTGGTTTTTAAGAAATAAAAAAAAGAGAAAGAACAAGAAGGGAAGGCTCTGACAGTATTGAAAATCCCAGGAGAATTACCTTCTGAATGAGTGAAGGCTTGATCCAAAGAAATCTTGGGTTGCTGCCACAGGCTTCAAGGATAGCTGGAGATGCTCAGAGCAATATGGCACAATCCTCCAATCTTCATAGCCTAGGAGAAATTCAGGTCTCATCTTTCCCTTATTAGAATACATGCTTACTCATTCTGCAGTCCAAGTTAGTGATATGAAGCCTTTTGGCTAAAAGTTGAAAGGAAGCCGAAATCCTGTATCAGAGTGTTTGACAGTGAGGTTCTTAAAATACATCAGACTAAATCCTGAGAAGTGGAGCCTACCTGCAGCTCTGTGCCCTGGTATAACACAATGATCAGTATGATAGGAACATCTAGATACCTACAAAGCTGTCACTATCTTTAATGAGAGTGGATTTGTGTGAAAACTTAATCCAAGGATTTAAATGAAACCAAGTGCAGAATTTGTTGAGTAATTTCCTCAAACTTTCTGTTATACACAGTTTTCTTTATTTGTAGGGCTAATTATGGTTTCCAAATGGTGGGTTGGAGGCCTTCAGGTAAATACAACTCTAGAAAGGTCACAGCCGGGGCCAAGGTCTTGTCAGGCTGGTTACTGCATAGTTAGAGAGGTATACCCTGTAGGAGTGAGACTAGCTAAAGGTGTTCTGGGAGAAGAGAACAACTACGCTTCTTACAGAGGGAGCAAGGATGTAGGAATAAACCAGGCAAGTTTGAAAAATGCACCGGCTCTTCATATCTAAGTCTCACTTGTGCCTTTGAAAGCCATCTTTTTGGTGGTGGACTTGCCTGAGTTGAGGGGTGTTGGGCTAGCAGCTCTAGCCCAGGTAACAGAGGGGGTCAGCTTTGTGCCCTGAAGCTGGAGGTGCTGTCACCTTTCCCACCACTGTCCTTGCTGCACCACTACAGGCCCTAAGGAGCTGGTGCAGGCCATGAGCGTTGAGGCAGTGACTCCCGCAGCTGCTCCTTTGGCACCTATTGCCCTTTAGTGGCCCATTTCCACAACACTGGAGCATCTTTCATAGCCAGGTGTGGCTGGCTGTGTTTGAAACCTGAGTTTGTTTGATGAGTGGAGAGTGGTATGAACAGGATCAATATGAATGTGTAATGGAATTGACTTGAATTCTCTCTAGCATTATTTGGCTCCTGCCTCCCTTTTCCTTTTCAATCTGTTCAGTAGAAAATTCTTTTGAAGAGAGATAATTTTACACAGTGCTAAGTTCAGTGTTCCAGAGCCTCTGGCATTCAGTAGGAGGCTTGCATGCTTTTAATCTATCTCCTGTGTTCGTATATTAAAGGAAATGTTTCAAAGTGACTTGAGCAAGTTATTTGTGTGAAACCTGTTAACAAATAATAGGATATACGCGTGTAACAGTTATTTCACTTTCAAAGTTTGCCCTTAGGAGTAGAAAAGATTTCTCATCACTAGAAATACTTTTTTTTCTTAAAAAAAGAAGAGTAAGGCTCCTGTATGTGATTTTTCATTCCTGTCTCTCTTCTGCTGGCTTTAATCATGCAAACCTCCCACCAAGGTCAAGGGGAGTTCTGGCTGATTTACAGAATGCAGGAACTGGAAAGTTGATGCCGATCTAATGACTATCTCCAAATGATTGAAGGACATAGTGGAGGCTAAAAGCAAATCCAAACCCAGGAACTTCCTCAATCATTTCCCCTTGACCAGTGTTTCACTTGTTGAGAGAGAAGATCCCCAATATTTGAAGGGAGAATTCTTTAAGAGATCCTGCCCATGATTGCAGTATTTTCCTGCCAAAGAGACGATCTTGTAACCATGTGTTTGGTCTGGTGCATGTTCCCATTTCCCAGTGGGCTGGAGAATGCTGGAGTAAGTCCCACAGATAGTTTTGATAGGCTGTAGTCAGAAGGTGAAAAGTGTATCACAAGTACGCACGTATGATGTTGCTTCTTACAGTTTCAGTTGTGCTAAGAAATGAGGTTTCTTCATCATCTTATATAAACTGAAAACAGGCAAAATTGCAGCTATGATAAACTGTAAGACCAGCTGTGCCACATGGTCTGTTGTGGCAAACCCAAGGCTATACCTCTTTCACAGAAAGGTTAGCCACCTCCTGAAGAGCAGCTGACATGCACCGATTTGTGCCTACGTGTAACAACAGTTCACAGCTCCTATGGTCTGCAGTGTCCAAGACAACACTAGGATCTGCATTTCACAGAATCACAGAATCCTAAGGGTTGGAAGGGACCTCAAAAGATCATCTAGTCCAACCCCCCTGCAAGAGCAGGGTAACCTAGAGTACATCACACAGGAACTTGTCCAGGCGGGCCTTGAATATCTCCAACGTAGGAGACTCCACACCCCCCCTGGGCAACCTGTTCCAGTGATCTGTCACTCTCACAGTAAAGGAATTTTTCCTGATGTTGACATGGAACCTCCTATGCTCCAGTTTACACCCATTGCCCCTTGTCCTATCACTGGACATCACTGAAAAAAACCTAGCTCCATCATCCTGACACTCACCCTTTACATATTGGTAAACATTGATGAGGTCACCCCTCAGTCTCCTCTTCTCCAAGCTAAAGAGTCCCAGCTCCCTGAGCCTCTCCTCATAAGAGAGATATTCCATTCCCTTAATCATCTCTGTGGCTCTGTGCTGGACTCTTTCAAGCAATTCCCTGTCCTTCTTGAACTGTGGGGCCCAGAACTGGACACAATATTCCAGATGCGGCCTCACCAAGGCAGAGTAGAGGGGGGAGGAGAACCTCTCTTGACCTACTAACCACACCCTTTCTAATGCACCCCAGGATGCCATTGGCCTTCTTGGCCACAAGGGCACATTGCTGGCTCATAGTCAACCTCCTATCCACCAGGACCCCCAGGCCTCTTTCCCCTTCACTACTGTCCAGCAGGTCAACCCCCAGCCTGTATTGGTTCCCAGGAGTGGGCCAGGTTATTTGGGAGAGGAAAGAACAAAGTGGGCAGTATGAATTTTGGGAGGAAAGATTCCTGGCTTGGAATATTAGGTGAAGTGAGGAGCATAAAGACCTTGGTAAGTATCATAAAGTAAGAAGTAAGAAAATGGGGGAAGGTAGTGCACAGGGAGCAACACTCGTAAGTGGTGGAGAGTAGAGTGTATGTGATGGGGTGGTCATGGAGCAGCCTTATTTGTATCCATAAAAAGTATGGCCCACCAGTAGACCACTGGAATAAAACATGTCATTATTTGTTTTCATTTATTGCTACTTCTCATCAGGAGTAATTGAGCAAAACCACCTTTTCTGCGGTGACTGCTACTCTGTCTTTGCAGTCGCAAGGGCCAGTGTCTTCAGCTGACTTATTTGTAGACCTAATAACTGCAATTTTGTATTTGAAAGCCTGTTTTTCTGTGCTAATTTAGTGCATTTTTGGAGATCAAGTGCCTGAGAACATTTTAGGTAGTCATACCTTTTAGCTAACACTTTACTGATACTTGGTACTTAGGATCTCATTTGTTCCCTGTAGTGTAAGTCTGTAGGAATATGGTCATTCTTAAAGCTCTGTAATTTGAAGTCCTCTTTGATTTCCTTAAGTTGGTGAAAACCTCTGTAGAGGTTCAGTAGCAAGGAGCAATGGTGATCAAGTGGGGTACAGAGTGTGTTTACTGTTCTCTGCCTTTATTCTTCTGTTCTGAGAAATTCCCTCTGCTTCGCTTACCTGTCTGTACTCAGCAGCGTGCTCTGCTCCAGGCTTGTCTCATGATACAGCAGGAGAGGCTGAGGTCAGAGATTTGGCTGCACCTACAGCAATGTGACAGAGCTTAGAGGAGTTGTGTGTGTGAAAGAGATGGCCATTCAGGGAACGAACAGTTTGCTGTCTGCTCAGCACAATGTGACACTGTTGCTGTGGTTTTGGAGTAATTGTAAGAGTGTTCTGGTTAAACCACAACAAAGAGAAAAATGAAGGGTCCACACAGGACAAGGAAAAATATTGGGAGAAAAGAATATTGCTAACACTACTCCTTGGGAATTCGTATTATGATCTTTTGCTGAATGCATGCACTGTTTAACTACTCTTGCATGACTTACTTGACCTTCCCATTTGGATTTGCACAAATACATCTTTGACAAAATGTGAAAATGTAATTTACCAGTCCTCCCTACTGGAAAGAAAAGCCGACTGCTGATTTTCTTATTTCATATTCTATCAGTACCTCTGTTACCAACCTGCTTGGTGTAGAAGTAATTTTTTCTGTGAGTCTTTTCCATCATTAGAGCTCCTAATTTGAACAGATGCTCACACTGGTTGCGCTAAGATTTAGGCCCACAGTGAAGTAATAGGATCTCCTTCCTAACAGGTATTAGGAGGAAGGATTTCCCTGTTTCTTCATTCCACTCTATTTGACTTGGTACCTTCATCCCACCTTACCTTATGAAGACAGGCTAAGAGAGCTGGGGTTGTTCAGCCTGGAGAAGAGAAGGCTCTGAGGAGAGCTTAGAGCAGCTTCCAGTGCCTAAAGGGGCTGACAAAAAAGCTGAAGAGGGGCTTTTGACAAGGGTCTGTAGTGACAGGACAAGGGGGAATGGCTTTAACCTGACAGAGGGCAGATTGAGATGAGATATTAGGGAGAAGTTCTTCCCTGTGAGGGTGGTGAGGCACTGGCACAGGTTTCCCAGAGAAGCTGTGGCTGCCCCATCCCTGGCAGTGTTCAAGGCCAGATTGGACAGGGTTTGGAGCAACCTGGTCTAGTGGAAGTTTTCCCTGCCCATGGCAGGGGGTTGGGGCTGGATGAGCTTTAAGGTCCCTTCCAACACAAACCATTCTATGATCCTGTGATTGCTCTGCATTGTTCAGCTCCTTTTGTGATACACCAATGAACCTTCTGTTGCCTTTTTTTTTTAATTCCTCAGTGGCTTAGTATGGGTTAAAAATAGGCCATGGTCTGTTCCATTTCAGATGTCAAAACAAGTTCACATGGCGCCTGAGAGAACGATGGCCCTCCATGACTTACAGGTGATACCGACCTCTCGCCAAGTCTGCTCCAAAGCTCAGTGCAATCAGTGGGAGTCTGGTAGTGTTGGGTCCGATCCATAATCCTCCTGCTATTATGCAGTTAATACATCAGTTCTGAGGCCTGTGTTTCAAAGTATATTAAATGTTTTGAATTGCATATACTGGGATGGCTCTAAATATACCTTACTCCCACTGATTTCCTGGTTGTCTCCCAGCCCGGCCTGGGGCAGGCTCCTCGCACCACACTGTCTGAGTGGCATTAGCGTGCCTCCTCCCCACAGCAGTAGGCACCAGCTCTGGTTGCTGCTGTTCTCCAGCCACGGTTAACACCACTACCCAGAAGGGACTTGTGAGTGCCTTTGCTAACTTGGTGAAACGTATTCCTTGAAGAGGCGTGTGGGAACTGTCTTCCCAGGAGACATGCGACGTGGTGCTTCACAAAGCTATGTGGTCACCGTCCTGTCGGCACTGTTGAGCTCCTCAGCAGTGCCGGCTGTAGACGGGCGGGAGCACGCAGTACCACGGCTCTATGTTTCCATTTTGTGTGTTCGGCCTGCAGCTACTTGTCAGTCTCTATGCGGTCACCGACCCACCTGCCGGCGGCTGCCAGCGGGCCCGGAGAGCCGCAGTGCCCTGGCTCTGTGCTGACTGCGGGACTCGCACCCGCTGTACCTCTGGTCTGTACTCGCCCTCCCGTCTCCGACAAGGGTCTGTCACGACAGCAATCTGTCACCTCGCTGACTCCAGCGAGTGCCGAGTGGCTTAACCCGTCCCTGCCGGTGGCAGTGCGGGACCCCTCCCGGTGTCTTCCAGCGCCTGTCTGCGCGCAGCCGTGCTGGTGACGAGCCGAGGGCCTCTCCGCGGTCTCTGCCGCCCCCTGCCGGCGCGGCGGCGGCCGGGAGCTGTTGGGAGGGGCGCGGTTGTGCCTGCCTGAGGGCCGGTGCGGCCGCAGATCGGCGCGGGTTTTGCGCTGGCCAGGACCCGGGCTACAGCCGGGAAGCCCGTGGCAGCTCAAGTGCGAAGGAACGAGCCTTGAACTTCGCCAGGGCTTCTGCATGCCTCTCGCTTTCACTCGGACAGCCAGCAGTCCATCTCCTCGTTAAAATCATAGATTCACAGAATGGTTTGGGTTGGAAAGGACCCCAGTCATCTAGTTCCAATCCCCTGCCACGGGCAGGGACACCTCACATTATACCAGGTTGCTCCAAGCCCTGTCCAGCCTGGCTTCGAACACTGCCAGGGATGATGCATTTATCACTTATTTGGCCAACCTGTTCCAGTGCCTCACCACCCTCACAGTAAAGAGCTTCTTCCTTGTATTTAACCGGAACTTCCCCCGTTTAAGATTGAACCCGTTACCCCTTGTCCTGTCACTACAGTCTCTAATGAAGAGTCCCTCCCCAGCATCCTTATAGGCCTCCTTCAGATACTGGAAGGCTGCTATGAGGTCTCCACACAGCCTTCTCTTCTCCAGGCTGAACAGCCCCAACTTCCTCAGCCTATCTTCATACGGGAGGTGCTCCAGTCCCCTGATCATCCTTGTGCCCCTCCTCTGGACTTGTTCCAACAGTTCCGTGTCCTTTTTATGTTGAGGACACCAGAACTGCACACAATACTCCAGGTGAGGTCTCAGGAGAGCAGAGGGGCAGGATCACCTCCTTCGACCTGCTGGTTATACTGCTGGTGTGGGGCACGGTTTAGGTGCAGTGTTAGGTTAACAGTTAGACTCAATGATCTTAAAGGTCTGTTCCAACCTAAATGATTCTATAGGCATTAAAAATACACTGTAGTAGCTTGTTAAGACCAGAGATGGGCTTTAGCTTCAGTAGTAATCAACAGCTCTAACATCAGAATGTCAAGGAACACTGTTATTCATACTTCTTAGCCTGTCTGATATCTAGCAGAGGGGCAATTATTTTTATGTAGCTCGAAGTTCAGTGTCCCTGGGGAGTCCTATGTAATAGGATTCAAAGGAAGTTTTAAGATTTCTTCCTTATACTGTATATCTTTTTTTTAAAGCTGGGTATAGCAAAGTGCTCTTAGGATGCTTTAGAAATGTTGAATGGAGAAGCATTAGCAAAATCTTTCTTTTGTTATGGATCAGGTAAGGTTTCCCGTCATTCCTTACTCCTTCTTCAAATCTAATGCAAATTTCCAAATACCCCTCCTTAGGTTCTTAACTCAGAAAACAACATGTATTAAGACCTGCAAAGACGTATCAAGTGTCTTACTGTGTTGTGCTCTAGTGCCCTCTCCCAGATGCTGATGTTTTTCTCTCACATTCATTATTTATGTTGTGTATTATTTCCTTCAGGCAGAAAGACTACCTCTAAATCCGTCTTATTTTGTGGCAGTATGTTACACTTGCTAGTAGACTCACTGCCAAATAAAAGTTACTTCTCATATTTCATATGTTGTTGTGGAGAAACATAGAACTGAGCAGATTTTGTGGTCACTATTTAGGTGTAGTACTCAACATGGTTAGGGAGTGCCCCTTCATTTAACTGGCCTGTTTACTGCTTTGTACTTCTATTAATTTTATTTAGGTTGTCTAAATGAGACAGGTTCTATCAGTCCCTGTGGTGCTCCATTAGGCTCTCACCTCCTCTAATGCTTTGTTGCAGATTGTTACCCTTTGTTTATATACCTTCTGCCAATTTTCCATCCTGGGACTGCTTATGTCTGAGTCAGTTTGAGTATGACAGGGAGCTGCTGAAGCAAATGCCTTAATAAAATCCCTAAAGCAAAAGCCTGTTGTGCTCTTTGCATCAACTAAATTTGCAGTCCAGTAGAAGAGAAGTTTGTGCAACAAGTGTACGCTGTTATGGCTCAGAGCTGCAGTCTTTGCTAGATGATTTGTAAATTTTGGTTCTAGGTATTGTTGGTATTTTACAGGTGCCTGAAGTAATTGTGAGGAGTGCTGGTAGTGTACTTGCTTTATTATTTATTGTACTTACTGGGAAGGGACTCTTCATTAGGGACTGTAGTGATAGGATTAGGGGTAACGGGTTAAAACTTAAGTAGGGGAAGTTTAGATTGGATATAAGGAAGAAGTTCTTTACTGTGAGGGTGGTGAGGAACTGGAATGGGTTGCCCAGGGAGGTTGTGAATGCTCCATCCCTGGTGGTGTTCAAGGCCAGGGTGGACAGAACCTTGGGTGACATGGTTCAGTGTGAGGTGTCCCTGCCCATGGCAGGGGGGGTGGAACTAGATGATTTTTAGGTCCTTTCCAGCCCTAACTATTCTATGATTCCATGATTCCTCTGCGGCACATACTGCAGTGCCAGTAATTTCTTTAGTGAATATTCCAGTGAGTACTTCAGGGCTGGTGGAATATTTAGGAACCTACATTAATGTGACGTCAGAATTTCATCCCCTGGTGCATGAGTGTTTATTTCCTATGTGTTTTACAGTATATTTGACCTGAAAGAGCTTTGTACTTGAGGCAGAGTCCCCATGCTGTTGTGCCTACAATCTTATCAGCAGTTCTGATTCACTGGTTTTCCTGGTTACTCTGTTGGATGTTTTTCATGTCTGTTTCACGAATGGTCAGATATATGCAAAACAAGCTTAATAGACACAGAGACAACAAAAATCCCTGCTGTTATTCCATGATCCCCCCACTTGGAGAGCTTCAATTATTTAATAGTATTTAGGTTTGTGTACCGCTTTTCATCTCAAAGCACTTTATAAACATTAACTAATTAATTCCTATTACTGGTAAGCAATCTACTTTTTTTTCCTATTCCCAACCCCTTCTTCTCTCCACCCAACAAGACCCGCAGACCGACCTCTAGACCCTTCACTAGAATTGGAGCTGGAGTGACTAAACAGTCAAAATACTTGTGTCACAGGTTTACCAATCTGCTCTGCCAAAAAAAGCCACCCACCTTTTTATCCAAGGCACAAAGGTTACAAGACTGAGTATAAATTTCCTGGGCTTGGTGTCTCTAGATAAAGATGACACAGCCCTTGAGAGCTGATTCTCTCTCTTTAATGACAAAGCAGTAATAGATTTCAGTATGAGTTTTTGGAAGCTGTAGCTGCCATTAAGAATGTGTGTACTTTCAAATGTTAAAAAACCATATGAGTCAAGAAAATACATGGAAGCATCTTGTAAAAGTCTGTCTTCTGTTAGATTGAGTAATTTGATTTATTAGGGTATTTGCTTTGGGAAGACTTTGATTATATTCTATCCCCATATCCAATATTCCGGTACGAAATATGTGCATCATATCTTCAGTTGCCTGCATTAGGTATTATAAAGGCAGAGCTTCCCATTTCAAAGCAGTTCCATCTTTGATTTCAATTCAGATAATAGCGAGCAGCATTATGAGCAGCAGGAGGACAACTGACTGTGGGTGCAGCCTCCAGGTAACAGCTGGGCATCTTTGGTCTTAGTGCAGTGCTTGTTTACAGGCTCACATTAAATACAGACATCACACTAAACAACAATACCATCATGCAGAACGTAGCAGGATACTAAGAAATGAATATGCAGTGTGTGTGTATTTTTATTATTCAACATGTATTTGATCACACTGAGTAAATTACACTATAGAAAGTGGAATTAAGTTAAGCTTTATTTTACATTTAAAAATCCTAATCCAGTGAAATGTTAACTTGAGAACCAAATTCTGCCTTCATATAGGTGATCATAATTCCATGCAAGTGAATGGCTCAGGTTGTGTCTTCAGGGACAGATGCAGTTTCATGGTGGCTGAATTGATTCTACTGCACATCAATGTAGAATTCCCTTTTCTAAGTAGAAATTTGTCATTGGTAGGTTAAACTTGCAGAACAATAACTTCCCTTTCTTAAAAAAAAAAAAAAAACAAAGAAGTCAGTTTTGTCATGAAAGAACTAACCTAAAGGAAAAATATTTCCAATGTGTTTTTTCAGACATTACAACTTATCGGAGCTGGAGTTGGGGATTCCTATTTCCTACTTTCTCTGTCAGATGACATCAACAACAGTATGCCATAGCTAGGGACGCCTATGATGGAACTGCTTCTGTGTGTGAGCAAGCACCTGGGTAGTGCAGGGTAGGGAAGGGAGTCCTATTGCTATGAGATGGGATGGAAATGTTTCCTAACTGGAATATTTCAGAATTCTTTTTTATTTCTTCTCACCAAGGTCGAACAAGCTAACTTTTTCATGGTGCCAACATTTGTCTCAGAATAAAACATTCTTAACCAGTTCTGCCTAAATATCCTTTGAAAATCCCGATTTCAAGCCCAGTACTGATATTCTTGCATGACACTTCCTGTACATGAGGAAGCATTTGGTTGTCTAAAATGTGAGCAGCTCGCTGCTACATTATGGTTATCACCTGTACCATGTGAGGCCAAAGGTAACTCAGTGTCAAGACTGAAATAAATAAGACAGCCTCCCCACTTGCCTGCCATGTGATGCCAGTCTGGTAAGTGAATCAGAGACTGGTTTGGACTGGAAGGGACCTCAAAGCTCATCTAGT